TCAGGTCCTTAATGTCTAATATTAGGAAATGCTATCCTACAGTAAAAAAACTTCTTCATTCTCCCTCACTCTATTTAGCAGCCACTAATGTTTTCCTCCATAACATACAGTACTTAAAATTCACAAGCAATAGTTTTTTTCCAAACTTATAGTTTGACAATAAATTTAGGAAATAGTCCCTCTCACTTTGATATGAATGAATCCGATGAGAAAAAAAATCTGTGAATATTTACCATCAAAACAGGACTTCAAAATATCTCAATATGTAAGCATAGTATAGAAGCTATAAAAACAATAAATATTGCTCAGCCTTTATTTGAATACGGAGAATATATTTCCCAGTATCACGGTTTATTAATACAGATACCGCTATGTATCACCTAGATTCATATTTATTTCTATTAACAACACTTACTTAAAGACTGTAGTAAGCTATAATTGGTGTAAAATTACTTCTAAATAATTAGGAAGTTCTAATATGGAATTTCAGACAGATATGAAAACTAAACCTTACTCTAATTGCTGACCTCTTAAAATTCCCTAGATGCTTTCAGCCAGACTGCAAAATAAGATCCAGATAAAATGCAAAAAAATTATTTAAGAGCCAACTCTGTTTTGATTACATGCTATTAAATGAGTATCATATGTTATGTGCAATTTTTTTAAATGTAAGTGAAACATGAATTCATGAGTCAGTAATCCATTATGAGAGTAACATTTTGGCTTTTTAAAATTCATCAGGCTATTCAATAACATACCTTAGTATGTAACAATATATAAAAGCTTTTGAAGAAAATATTCATTAAGTGTCAGCAAGAATTGTGCTAAGAAGTAAGGATACAAGATGAACAAGACTCGCTATTACTCTTAAATAGTTTATAATCCAGTAGAGAGGTAAATAAACAGATAAGATTTCAGTTCTGTGGGCTAAGTCCTGGGACAGAGGTAAATGCCATGGGCAGCACATTGGAGAGGCCCCTGACCCAGTGTGGCTAGCAGCCTAGGGAGGACAGGGGCAATGTCGGAAGGAGTGAAACCCATCCTGAGTCTTCCAGATTTACAAACTACCTGGGTGGAACAGAGGCCCTTCTCGGAAGAGGCTATAGGGCTGGCAAAGGCACAGAGAACCTGCAAGATTCCAAGAATCAAAAGAAGCCAGAAATAATACTGGAGAGATACAGGTACGCAACTGAGTCTGTGCGCTTTACTGCACACTTGGGACTTTCTCTTAAGGGTAAGGCAGGGCCTGGGAAGGATAGTAAGTAGAGCAGCAACATGATCAGCTATGTATTTCAGAAAGACCACTCTAGAAGCAAACTTAAAGCAGAAAAAGACAGTCAAGAGATAAAACAGAGATCCAAAATAAGAGCTGGAGCAGAGAGAACAGCTTTGAGAGATATTAAAAATTAGGAATAGACAGGAGTTTGAAATGGGGATGAGGGAAAGAAGGGCAAATCTCTGCATTCTGACTTAATCTACTCTATAGTTGAGGATGCATCCTCAGAGATGAGAAGTACTGGAGTAAAAGAGAAAGGAAGAAAAATTGAGAGAGGAGAGCTTGTGAGTTCAGTTTTCATATGCTGAGATTGTAGACCTACGTACCTCCAGGCAGGGCTGTCTGCCAGAAGGTAATTTGATATGCCAGAATGAATGCAGACTCTTTAAAGACCATTTGAGTATGTCAGATAATTGTAACAACAGCTAACATTTACCAAGCTTCTATTGCTAAGCCTTTCATATAACTTTCATATAACTTATTTTTATTATACTTGAAGAGTTTGAGTATCTTCCTAATGGTTACAAAGTATTTAAGTATCAGGGATTTCTGATTTCACCTCAAGTCCTTACCCACTATACTATGCTGTATCATGCAAAATCCATTACAGGTTTTAGGACCAGATAAAAGTGGGTTCAGTTCTAATCTCTGCTACGTAACAGCTGTGTGACCTTGATATTCTCCAAGCCATAGTTTCCTTATCTGTAAAATGGTGACTATAACAATGACATCACAAGACAATAAGGATTGGAGAAAGAATATGGAAAATTCTAGATTCAGTCTCTATGTGCAGTAACTGGCAACCACTGTTATGTCTATGCCTAGAGAAAAAATTCTTCTATGATATGAGCAAATTCTCTTTCATCTTATTATGAACTTTTTTTAATTCTACTCTATGTTTTCTATATCTTAATAAAGGCTAACTATCATTTTTCAAAATACTTGAAACATATTCTGTAATATTTAATGTCATTTAAAGATGTCACTCAAATAGAAATCATTTCAATGTAAAGGGGTTGATTCAAATTTTTTTTGACATTTCTATAGTGATTAACGTCAAAATAGGAAAACCCCAAAGCCATAAGGCATATTGGTGTTCTGGAACGAGCTTTGGACTTGGAGTCAGAAGATCTGTGTGAAGTCCCAACTCTGCCTTTTACTAGCCATGGCATCATGGGCAAGCCATTAACAATCCCCAGGGTCCCTCTGTCTATGTACAAGATGTACAGATTGGCCTATATGTTCTGAGTCTAAGGACGCTAAAGGAGAAAGGCTTTACAATGTTTGTAATATCAAAGCCCCAAGTCATTAACACTTGACACAAACTACAAGCTTCCTGTGTTTTAACCAGAAGTAAATGCTCTTTGATGGCCTATCAAACCATTCCACAGATCAGGAGCTCACAGTTTGACTCTGAGATGATAACCCTCAGGTGGAGAGTTCAATGTGAAGCGGGGAGGGGGGGACAGGGCGGTGAGAGTGGGGGAGCGGAGAGCATTCTTTCCTTTTCTCAAAATCTCCCCCGTTCGTTCTCACTACAAATTCGGTAGCTGAGTTTGAGCTGAGAAGCCAGAAGGTCACACTACATTTCTAGTTTCCAAACCTGGCTGCACGTTACCAACACCAGGAACTTAAAAAAGAAAATTTAAATGCTGAGTGCCATAACCCTAAAATAACACTGGAGGAAACTATGTAGGTCTTACAAATACTGGGTTTCACTTTGTAAAAGGTCGTATGAAGCATCTTGTGTAATAACCTCACTCTAATGTTAAACATAAAAACATATTCTCTTTAACCTCCACTACACTGAAAACAAGTATTCATTCTTGAGGATGCACACACAACTAGATCAACCATGCCAGTCTGCAGGGACTGCACTTGCATTAGCTCTGAAAGTTCCATGTCCCAGGCAACCCCAGAGTCTCTGGATAATAGGGACAGTTGGCCAACCACACACACACACACGCACACGCACACCCCAACCACTAAGAAATGCTCAGTGCCTCGGTGTGTTAGAACAAAGTATAGATCAACAGCAGCCCTTTCATGAAGCAGCACCACTAAACGACACTATTCACTCAGATGTGTACAAGGTCTCACTGACGGACCTCTGAGGCCACCAAGATCCATAAACATGCAATGGCAGGGTGACATCATCATGCTATCATCCATTACGTTAGCATCCACACCATGATAACCAGCATTTTAAAATATAACTACTTTGAAGCCCCTGCCTCCTAACAGCTCTTTGTCTAGTCAGGCAACTTTTGAAGAAGAACATCTCTACCATTTGATAGACTTTTTTTAGTACTTTTATAGTTTTATATTTTGTGTTACATTTTTCTATTATGTTGCCATGTAAAATTAAATAATTTTACTTTATTTAAGATAATATACAATGAAATGAGACAATGGTTGTTGTCTGTTTGTAAATTAATGACTTGGTTATTATCTTTTTAATGAAATATTTTTAAAAATAAATTAACTTGGGACACCTGGGTGGCTCAGTGGTTGAGCGTCTGCCTTGGCTCAGGCATGATCTCGGGGTCCCAGGATCGAGTCCCACATCGGGCTCCCCGCAGGGAGCCTGCTTCTCACTCTACCTGTGTCTCTGCCTCTCTCTTGTGTCTCTCATGAATAAATTTAAAAATCTTTTTAAAAAATTAACTTGAAATGGCATATATACACCAGAGCATATATATTCTTCTGTATTTCAAAACTAAGTTCATCATAGAAGTATTTTCTGGAACCACATTATTATACACAAATATACTGTCTTCTGTTACTTAATAGAAACAGTAGACTCTAAGATCAAGTCATGGTCATCGAAGCTACTAAAGAATAGCATCAATCTGCATAGCACACACTTGGTAGACTCCCATGTCTCCTCTCCTTACTTGTGGTATCACTAGTTGTCTGTGGGATCCCAGAGGAGCTTGGGCCACAGTTGGCAGTAGTGTGGGAGTGTGAGGAAAGACCTCCTGCTGACTTCCGTTCCGCACATTAAAGAATTCATTCCATGGAGACACTACTAAATGAGTTAGGAGCAAAAGCCATATAAACGCTTTCCCTTTGAAAAATCAGAATCTTAGAATGGCTGCCACCAATCTTGTGTGTTCTTTACTCTACAAAGAACTAGCAAAATAAGGAAGCCCATGAGGGCACATGAGGACTATGGCTGCCATCCTTGAAACGAGCAATAGGCATGCTGGTAATACACCTTCTCCTGTTACGCTTCTGACAGTCAACAACATATACGCTATCAAAGCACTTTTGGAATAAAACCAAATAAAGGAGGTGTGCAAAACTGTTTAGATCATCGAAAACACTTATTAGCATGATTTAAATGCCCTAGTCTTTCTGTCACTGGCTTTATAAGCAGATGATCAAGGGAGTCCTCAAAATGTGACATCATTAAACAGGAACCAGATACATTTCCAAAGGTCTGTTTTATGGCCTTGGAAGGGATTTCAAGACCTTTTTATATATAGAATATATACATATATTCTATATATAATGTAGAATAATGTAACAGAATATATAATAATATAATATAGAATACAATAATATTAATAACAATATGATACAGAATATATATATTTATATATATTCTATATATTTTTTAACAAAGCTCTTGATTTTTATAATATATTTCTTTTAGTATGATTTTGAGTAGTTTTGCCACAACTTTTGTCAGCAAACTTGAGACCATATTAAGACTTACTGATTGCTCATTTAAGTCCTGGGAGTCTTCCATGGGGTTTTCTCACTTCTCCTGCCACCCCCAGGTAGAAGCAGCTTCTTTCAATTAACAGTGGACTATCTAAAACAAAAAGAGGGAAACAAAGAAGAAAACTGAAAAATTTATCTTTTTTATTTATTTTCAAATTACCAAAGCATATTATGATTTATGTAATAGTGGGTAATTGATTACTTTCAAAGAACAAAACTCATTAATATTATCTCCATATCTTATAGACCTAATGATCTTGAAAATCACAGTAAAATTGGAATTCATGAACAGCTACTAAGGAATACTACAAATAAACAATAACATCTGAGGACAATTTTGGAGAGACAGTCTGCAATAAACACTTAATATACACTATTTTGTTGAAAGAGATCTGCCATTAGGCAATTGCCAGATTAAAAATTAAGAGTTCGCATTAATTGTTCACTTTCTAAAGCATGTGAATTGAGAAAATACAGTGTGTACCTTATAGCTTGTTATAAAGGAAATTTTGTCCGAATTATCAGATGATTATTAGTTTCATAAAATACATGCCCTACTTTAAATAGGAAACAAAAATAACATTACTACAATAAAGAAGGCATTACAAACATATATGGGAAGGACAATTCATTAATAAACCATAGTGAGACAATCAGTTAATTATTTAAAACAAGTTCATCTTCACTCCATACCATATATTTAAAAATCTCCAGGCAAACTGAAGTGTAAAAAAAAACCTAGAAAAATATGCATAATTTCTTTTAATTCCTAAATGGAAAAGGATTTCATAACAAATAATGGAATATAAACAAAATAGCCAAACAACCTCTTGAATCGCCTCACATCAAAAAATAATAAAAATTAACAGATACATGAAAATACAAAAAGAAATATCTGTACAAATATCAAACAAAAGAGGCTAATGCTCCTTCTTACAATGTAAACAGAAATGCACACACACCTCTACAGAAAAATGGTCTACCACCACAAAACAATATCAAACTCATTAATAAATAAAGTGCAATTTAAAATAGCAATGATACAGTTGTAGCCCTTTAAATAGTAATTGTAAAAATAAAAAGAATATGAGGTTAAAAAATATTTATGTAAAAAAAGGTGTTTCTCATGGGCATAAATTAGATATAAACTACTAAACTCACACTTGAAGTAATGTTTTAGTGACATCAGAATTCTCTGAAGATATAATTTAAGTGAAAATATTCTAGTAAGTGTCCTGCAGAAACATTTTCCCCATTTTATTGAAATTCAACATATGATGGTTTTTTGCTCCATTACATACATCCATTCATTTACATTCCCTACTACAAGCCAGGTAGACGTGGCTTTCTTTTCTTTTCTATGTTGCAATTATTTTCTACAACAGCCCTATTAATTCCCTTATTAGAATAAAAGACATTTTAAAAATTACAAAGGAGGTGTAACCTAGGTAACTCAATGGTTGAGCATCTGCCTTGGGTTCAGTTCATGATCCCGGGGTCTTGGGATCGAGTCCCACATTGGACTCCCTGCTCAGACGGGAGCCTGCTTCTCTCTCGGCCTGTGTGTCCTCTGCCTTTCTCTGTGTGTCTATCATGAGTGAATAAGATCTTTTTTTTAAATCACAAATGAAATTAGAAGTATAATTTTAAATTGTTTTATGGACAGAACACCCAGACATGTAGATTAAAGGTTTTTTTTTCAATCCTAAGAGTTAAAAGTCATAAAACAGTGATGTAACGTGTATATATGTAATGTGACAGTCTCCATATGACACTGATTAAGTATATTCCAAAACCAGAAAAGCATCGCTCAAAAGAACAGCACAATTTTACAGCATATATGAAATGGTAAGGAAGGGTAAACACGAAGCACCGTGAAAAGTGTGGCAGCATGCATTTCGACTCGGGAAGTTAAGCAGGCAGGGAGTTCAAGATTTACTAACACTATTTTTGTACTGGGGATGGGCGTGAGAAATGGCAATTGGAAAACAGGGCTCTGCCTCTTGCCTCACGTCTCTGCTGTCTTTCCTCTCCCACTCTTCCCTGCTCCTTAAGGACTGGCTCCCCACATCTAATCTGGGTCTTTCATCCTCGTCCTGATTCTTCTTGGGCACTTGCTTGCTCCTCCTATCATTAAAGTCCTCCGTCCCCATCCTTGGCCCTGCGTACTGCCCCCTCCCCTCAAGGAGACCAAGACCACTGAGGTCAGGCTCACCTTGGGTGTGGGCGCATCCTAGTTAAGTGCAGGCCACTAGTCCAGCTGATGCTGACCTTGCTCAGACTGACACCAGCCCGCCTCATCAGCTCTTCCTCCATCCTACCAGATGGAACTGTGCAGGTCATCTCTTTTAGTGGCATCTTCTCCTCGCTACCTGGTTAACAGACTGGCCAAGCATTCCTGAGGCTGCTATTTTTAAAAAGTATCACAAACTGGGTGGCTCTGACCAATAGAAATTCATTCTCTCATAGTTCTGACAGCAAGAAGTCCTAGATTAGGGTGCCAGCAGGTCCATGCTCCTTCTGGAGATTCTAGAAAAAGATCATTCCTAGTTTCTTCCTAGTTTCTAGTGTTGCCGACAAGATTGGCATCCCTTGGCTTGTAGATGCATCACTCCAATCTTTGCTTCTATGGTCAACAATATTCTTCCCATGCGTCTCTTGACTTGGCTTTCTGTGTGTGTGCCTCTGTGTCCAAATTTTCCTATTCCCATAAGTAACCAGCCACTGGATTAGGATCTACCCTAATCCAGTTAAAACATCATCTTAACTTAATTCCTTCTGCCAAGACACTACTTCCATGTAAGATCGCATTCACAGGTAAGGGGGTTAGAATTTAGGGGATACAATTCAACCTACAACATATGTATAGTTACCACACTAAAATGATGTTTAAGATGTCATCAAGGTTTAAATGTCATATCCTTTTCATAAAGGATAGCTAACAAATTAAGAATATGGATCATTAGGAAAGAAGTAATCATTTTCTAGAAGGACTACCATCTCAGGACATTGGTAATAACTCAAATGAAATTCAAAATTAAGACTTCAGAAAAGATGTTGGAACATAAGAGAATTAAGCAAAAACCAGCCTTTTTCTGTTAACCGCCCACTGAGAATCTATTTAACGTTCCAGTTGGGGAGCTATTTGCATTAATGTTCCATGTTACAACATAATACTTTGCTTTATGTTTCCTTAAAATTGAGATTGCTACTTAGTTTAACTTCTTTACGGTAACATGAATTTCTTTTTTTGCCAAACACACTAAGGTACTAAAATATTATGAGCCCAGTGATTTTATATTATTGAACCAAGTAAAACTACCTGGCCTAATTGCAGACACAGTATTATTTTACATCATAATTTAGCAATGGTTGTTATGCTAAATCTCTTAACATCTCATTTTCACAAATATATGAGAAAAAGACAAGAACACTCTTCAAATCAAGTAAGAGAAGTATTACCTCATAATAAAGATATAAAATTAAGGAATAACAATAACCTCTTGCTGTTTTATGAGGCAATAATCTAGTTCCCAGCTCTATTTCAAGGTCATTCCCCCAGAAAAGGTGAATTCAAAAAGGAATTATAGCAACCCCACCCACTTCATGTTAGATTATTTCTCCTGCAGTCAGGTTCTCAGTATACAGAGAGAGTGGATGATATCATTTTCTTCAACCCTGCTCTAGAAGTGAGCTACAAAAGTCTTCTGTCTTAGACAATTAGAATTTAAAAACCCAACAATTCTTCTGGTTTAAATATATAATGAGATTCATCTCTCAAGTCATAGGAAAATCCTCAGAAATGGAACACGGTACTGAGGCCTGGTCCAGGTGGTGGAGACAGCAAAGGGAAAAAGAAGATGTTGAGAGAGATGTGAGAAGTTTGTAGAGTGGGTGATGCAGCCCTCACCCTCAAGATTTGCCTTTCTAACAAAAGCTTCAGTGAAAACTAGATTGTCCAGGCCTGCTTTCCTCTGGCTGAGTAAACATGAACGTGAAGGGGGTGGCTCTCTGTGCCAAGGCTGGCACGGGACAAGGACCACAGCCGCACATGGGAATACTACACCTCTGGATGATGTGCACACATGGCACAGCCTCTGTCCAGCCATTAAAGCCAGAGACCTGGGCTTTGTCACAGACTCCTTGCCTACCCCTGTCCAATTCCCTAAGTTACAAAGTGCTGTCAGTATCCCACAGAGTTCACTCAAATCTCTCCGTGTTTCTCTCCTCACTGCCATGACATCAACACAAGCCATCCATGGCCCTTGCCCAGAGGGGAGCCACGGCCTCCTGAGCAGCACCTTCTCTCCAGAGTTGCTCCCTGGACTTGACTTTGCACAGTGCCACTAGAGAGATGCTTTACAGTAGAGATATAATTGGATTTTCTTAAAACAAGTCAGAGCTTTACCCTACCTTTAGGATAAACCAGACATTCTTTCATTGGTCCTAACTGAAGTTGTGGCTGTATCTAGAAGAATCCCATGAAAGAGAACCCCTAGTCAGCTGTCTCTGCTCCCTAGGGCCTTCTGCCTATCCCCAGTGGGAGAGCTTCACCTTCCTTCTCCCTGGGCTCCGTTCCACTGTACTTGCCATTCCCCTATCCTTAGCACTACCAACACAATCAGCACACAGCACAGCGCTCACAGTCAAAGGCTGGGACTGCCCCAGAGTCTCCTGGGGGGATGGAGGGGCGGTATATGCCCACTACAGGCTCTGCTGCCACACAAAGAAGGGAGTGGGGAAAGGAGTATAACACCTACCCATGTTCCACATGCCTTAGGGAAAGATATGAGACTGCATTTTACATGAGACTGCATTTTACATTTTACTCTGGTCCCAGACCCAGTGCAGATCCAGAGATGTGGAGGGAGGTGCATGGATAGATACCCATAACTATTGACAAGGCCCCCTTTAAACTTAGGTGGGGGCACTGAATAATCTATGTGCATGTGCAAAATTTCCTGGGCCAGGAGAGGGTATCCTTCTATTACATTCTGTCATTCAGAATGGCTAATCTATGGCTTGACTTTTAGATTTTCAAAGGGCAAATACATTTCCAAAAACATACTGTGTTTGCCCACATGAGCCCAT